TGTCACGTAGGGTGGTTTCCTGGAAGCTGCTGCCTGACTTGCTCCCTTTATTACCTCTTCTCCATACCCAGGCCCCTTACTCCTGACATCTCCACTGGGGAGACCAGCAATGAAATAACGCTTAGGTGAACTGACAATTGTTTTTCTTTTTGAAATAGAGACAATTAAGTTAAACATAAATGTTTGTTTCACACATTCATTGACAATATCTTTTTTTTTTTTGGCTTTGTCACCGAGGCTGGAGTACAGTGGCACAATCATGGTTCACTGCAGCCCTGACCTCCCAGGCTCAAGCAATCCTCCCACCTCAGTCTCCCAAGTAGCTGGGACCACAGGCACACACCACCACACCCTGCTAATTTTTTTTTTTTGGACAGGGTTTCACCATGTTATCCATGCTAATCTCAAACTCCTGGGCTCAAGCAATTTGCCCACCTCAGCCTTCCAAAGTACGGCATTATAGGCATCAGCCACTGTGCCCAGCTGACGATACTTTTTTTAAGTCAAAAGTTTAATAGAATAATTAAAATGTTGCTATATCAAAAAGGAAGCTACAGGAAAGAAATGTTTCAAAACTCTGAGGTGGTCAACTGTGCCCCTGCTAATGTGAACATTAGATTTATCCCCAAGGCAGTGACTGGTGACCTTGGCTGGGGCTGTCAACAGAGTGGTGGAAGCAGAAGCCAGATTCCAGTGGATTGAGTGATGACAGGCAGGGAAGAAGTAAATAAGGCTATGAGTGTGAACAAGTCCTTTAAGAAGTTTGGCTCTAAAGTGACAAGAAATAGGGGATGGTAGGCCAGGCGCAGTGGCTCACACCTATAATCTCAGCACTTTGGGAGGCCGAGGTGGGTGGATCACCTGAAGTCAGTAGTTTGAGACCAGCCTGGCCAACATGGTGAAACCCCATCTTTACTAAAAATACAAAAATTGGCTGGGCGTGGTGGCAGGCGCCTGTAATGCCAGCTACTCCTGAGGCTGAGGCAGAATTGCTTGAACCCGGGAGGCAGAAGTTGCAGTGAGCCAAGATTGCACCATTGCACTCCAGTCTGGGTGACAAGAATGAAACTCCATCTCAAAAAAAGAACAAAGAGGCCAGGCGCGGTGGTTCACACCTGTAATCCCAGCACTTTGGGAGGCTGAGGCGGGTGGATCACAAGGTTAAGAGATCGAGACCATCCTGGCCAACATGGTGAAACCCCATCTCTACTAAAAATACAAAAATATGTATAAATATATATATTAGCCAGGCGTGGTGGTGTGTGCCTATAGTCCCAGCTACTTGGGAGACTGAGTCAGGAGAATCGCTTGAACCTGAGAGGTGGAGGTTGCAGTGAGCCAAGATCGTGCCACAGCACTCCAGCCTGTGCAATAGAGTGAGACTCTGTCTCGGAAAAAAAAAAAAGAAGAAGAAATAGAGGGGATGGTAACTAAAGGGGTACATGCTGGGCAAGGGTCTTCATAAAAGGAGAAACCCATGCATGTTTAAGTCCCTGCTTAGAAGGCAAATCCATGCTCTACCTCCAGGCAACAGGAGCTCCAGGACCCCAAGTCTGTTTGCATCCCCAGACTTGACCCCACACTGGGCTGCACATCCAGGAAGAAGAGGTAGAGCCCTCCAACAAAGGAAGTTTTGTCCTCATGATACTAAACAAGTGTTGCATTCTTAGATGCTTTTCCACTGCTGCTGTCCAAGGTGGGTGTTTGAGGTAGAGCCCTGCTGGGTGGGCAGGGGCTCTGCATAGAACTGGAATGGAGCAGTATAAGGCTAAAGATGGCGCTGCCTTGACCTCTACCCAAGATAACCAACCACCTGGGGCTTCCCTAGCCACTTAACTGCTTCATGCTGAGAAGAGCAGGGATTGGGAGAGAAACCACCACCTGGCACCTTTGGACAATTGCCATAGCAACCACGGGCCGGACATTTTATTCCAGTCATTGCCTGGGAGTGGTCCTCCCACATGTCTTGTTTTCTGTGTTACAAGTTTATTACTGTATGACCTCCAGCCCTTCACTTTCATCTTGCAAAACAAAGTTCTTTAGCTACCATCAGTCTTTCCCTGATGCCTGGAAGGATCTGCCCTGGAGTGTCTGAAATTGGAGACTTTATGCAAGTGCACAACAAACAATCTGAAATGGAAACTGATCCAGTAGAGCGTGCTGGAACTAGTGAGGGGCAGTGGATGTGTCCAGCAGATACAGGCCAAGACAGTTTGCCTCCCAGCTCCAAGGCGTCTCCGTACCCTCCATGAGTGGGCTTGGGATGCTGCAAGGGACATGGTCAATAGCTTGACCAAACTGACACATGACCCAGTTAGTTTCAAGATAGACTGGGCCACATCAATCATTCTTCCCCACCTCCAACCCTAGTGAGGAGGGAGACCCAGGCATTTGGGATTCCCTCCCCCTCTGTCATCCACTGTGCATCTCAATAAAAGAGAGAGCAGGCCAGCTGGTGCCTCCTGAGTCTCCTTCCTGAAAACAGCAGGCTAGGCCTTAGGGAAACTCTCCAGAAGGCACTATTTTTACTTAAAACAAGATCAAACCAGAAACCTTTTCACATGTGAGTCCTAAAACTGTAAACCAAAACCTTTTCACATGTGAGTCCTAAAACTATGAACCTAAGATTCTTCCACGTGTAACATCTAAAGTATAAGCCCATATAAAGGCTGAACCTCCTTTTGTTAGACAAGCTTCGCTGTTAGGTATCTATGCCACCCTGCTCCCAGCTGAAATAAATTCCTTCCTCCTGTATTCCGTGTCCGAGAGATCCTTTCCCACGGCCGCTCCTGCTACACTAGGACTGCGGATAACCCTTACCCACAGGAATTACAGGGCCCTGCTGCCCCAAAAAGGTAGGATCTGAGTCAACAAGAAGCAGAAACAAGGACACATACTTTGAGATCTTGGCTAGCTTGGTGTTCTCAGCCCAGCTACACATTAGAACCAACTGTGGAGCTTATAAAAAAATGCTCAGTATCTGGACTCCACTGTAGATTTAAATTTAGTTGAGGATCTGAGGCATCTGGTTTTTTTCTTAAGTATTTCAGGTGTGGAGAACCATTGGTTGCTCAAATAAGTGGCCAGGCTCCACAGCTGGTCCCATGGCTTCAGCATGGACAGTGTGGGACTACTGGTGAGACCTTGGGCAAGTTATTCAACATCAGTAAACCTCCATTCCCTCAGCTGTAAAAAAGTACCTGCTGCCCAGGCATGGTGGCTCACACCTATAATCCCAGCACTTTGGGAGGGCAAAGTTGGAGGATGGTTAGAGCCCAGGAGTTCAAGACCAATCTGGGCAACATAGCGAGACTCCATCTTTTTTTTAAAAAAAAAAGGCCGGGCGCGGTGGCTCAAGCCTGTAATCCCAGTACTTTGGGAGACCGAGGCGGGTGGATCACGAGGTCAAGAGATCGAGACCATCCTGGTCAACATGGTGAAACCCCGTCTCTACTAAAAATACAAAAACATTAGCTGGGCATGGTGGCGTGTGCCTGTAATCCCAGCTACTCAGGAGGCTGAGGCAGGAGAATTGCCTGAAGCCAGGAGGCGGAGGTTGCGGTGAGCCGAGATTGCGCCATTGCACTCCAGCCTGGGTAACGAGAGCGAAACTCCGTCTCAAAAAAAAAAAAAATTAGCTGGGCATGGTAGTCCCAGATACTTGGGAGGCTAAGGCAGGAGAACTGCTTGAACCTGGGAGGCGGAGGCTGCAGTGAGCCGAGATCGAGCCACTGCACTCCAGCCTGGCGCCTGGCGACAGAGCAAGACTGAAGAAAAAAAAAAAAAAAAAGCAGTACCTGCTTAATGGAGTTGTGGGGAGGATTAAATGAAAGAATGCGTGTTATTTTTGGCACGTGGCACTGTGGCTAGCCAATATTTAAGTGTTCAAAACGTTATTCTTATTGCTGGAGCAGCAGTTGTCACCTCTCTAGAATCCAGGTTTGAAGGTATATAAGAAAGTGCCATTTCCAGAGACCAGGGGCCAAGACCTGTCCTTTTCCCAGAGTGCCATTGAGGGGGTCAATCAGAGCCAGGGTCAAGGATTGCTTTTGTCCTGGTATTGGCACTCAGCTCTGGTTACTCTTGACATTCTAGTCCCATGCCATCCATTCTGAAATAGTGAAAATGTTTTATATTCGTGCCGACAGCACAGTAGTCACTAGCTACATGGGGCTATTTAACACTTGCAATGTGGCCCATGTGACTGGGGAACTGAATAATTTTATTAAATTATAATTCATTTAAACTCAAACAGCTACACATCGCTACAGTATTGAAAAATATAGCTCTACGCCAGGCACGGTGGCTCACGCCTGCAATCCCAGCACTATGAGAGGCCGAGGCAGGCAGACTGTTTGAGCCCAGGAGTTCAAGACCAGCCTGGACAACACGGCAAAAACCCATTTCTACGAGAAAATACAAAAAAAAAAATGTGCCAGGTGTGGTGGCACGCAGCCGTAATTCCAGCTACTCAGGAGGCTGAGGTGGGAGGATGACTTGAACCTGGCAGGCGGGGGTTGCAGTGAGCTGAGACTGCATTACTGCATTCCAGCCTGTGCAACAAAGCAAGACTTTGTCTCAAAAGAAGAATGAAAGAAAAAGAAAACAAAAGAAAAGAAAATGTAGCTCTAGACATGTTTGTGTGTTGAGGATGGGACCAAACAGAGATATAAAATGTTGAAAAATACTCTGACCAAGCATTTTCCCTTCTACTATCTCATTTGAGCCTCAGAAAGTCCTATAAAGGAGACATAACAGGCACTAACAGTCCTATTTTACAGATTAGGGATGTTAAAAGACCTTCCCCAGATAACGGAGAGTGTCAGAGGCACAGCCAAGCCTAGAGGGAGGCAGACTTCGGACTTCAGACAGATGCTTTTTCCTTTCATCAGTTACAAAAGCTTTCCCTTCACGGAAGCACCTCACATCAGCCCTCCAGCTCTTGTGAAGTTCTCAGCCCCAAGCCCCCATCTCCTCCCACTCTCCCCTGTTCTACCCACCTGGAAGAGCTCCTGCACCTGAGCATCGACCCATTGCTCCAGCTCCAGCCAGCGCTGGAGCTGGCCCCGGTCATACTTCACCGTCAGGCGGCTGGGTCTCCGGGACCTGGGTAGCTTGGAGGGGTCCGGGTGGGACTTGGACTCTGAGTCTGTAGATGATGTTCTCCTCCTCCCAGAAGTCCAATGGACCTTCTTACATGGGTTCTCCCCATCCGGACTGGGAGATGTGCAGGAAGCAGGGCTTGAAGACAGCATGGAAGGATTGGCCTGGGCAAGGAGCTGTGAAAAACCGCCAGTTCAGAGCAGGGCCACAGAGGGAAGTAAGGAGACAGAGTACAGGAGAGGCCAGCAGGGAAGAAAGGAAGGCAGGAGTAGGGCCAAGGCTCCCAGGGAGGGGCAAGGGCAAAGATCAATAAGCCTTTGGTGCTGGGTACACCAGTCTCCTGGCTCCTCACTGCCAGCCAGTGAGCGGCACTCCAGAGCCGTGCCCCAGCTTTCTTTTCAGCAGCTTCTGGGGCCCAAAGTGGTATAAACTGCAGATGAGCAAAGGTCAAGAGGCTGCCATGCCCAGGGAGGAGGCAGGGGCCCTGGGGTCCTAAAGGGTACAGGCTCTAATCACTGCTTTATGGCCAGCTCTGGAACGGGACCTGAGTTGTTCTCACCTGAGATCCCTCTGTATCCCACCTTCATGGGGCTAGATCCACGCTGGGCTCCGAGAAGCTGTGGTCAAAATCCGCAGAAGCAGGGTCCCTGGCTGGCAGGGATTTTTGCCCAGAGTGTGGCACTGCTGGGGGCAGAGTCCCAGCTGGTGGATGGAGTTGGAGGTCCGTTATCCATGGCTCCCATGGAACCAGTGCCCCCAGTGTCTGGGTGTGTCTGAATGTAAACTGCTATCAGCCTGGCCTATAAAAGCAGTTTGCCTGCTTGTAAAGGCAAATTTATCAAGCCCAGTCTACCAAGCCTGCTCCCCTGAGGCAACTGGTTAGGAAGCCATGTTTAATATCACGTGACCCTCCCGATTGTTGTACTTCCTGATACAGAGAAAACCTGCAGACCTTACTTATACACAAGGGCCAAGGACTAAAAACTTCTAGGCATATACACTTGCATTCTAAAGGCAGTGTATTTTTGTTTAGTCTTTTGTAATGAAAATTTCTAAACTTTAAAAAAAGTAACAGAACAGAAGAAAGCTGTAATTTTTTTTTTTTTTTTTTTTTTTTTAGTCGGAGTTTCGCTGTTGTTGCCCAGACTGGAGTGCAATGGCACGATCTCGGTTCACCGCAACCTCCGACTCCTGGGTTCAAGCAATTCTCCGGCCTCAGCCTCCCGAGTAGCTGGGACTACAGGCATGCACCAGCATGCCCAGCTAATTTTTGTATTTTTAGTAGAGACGAGGTTTCACCTTGTTGACCAGGATGGTCTCGATCTCTTGACCTCGTGATCCACCCGCCTCGGCCTCCCAAAGTGCTGGGATTATAGGCGTGAGCCACAGCGCCCGGCCGAAAACTGTAATTTTTTTAAACATGGGCCCGGGCGCGGTGGCTCACGTCTGTAATCCCAGCACTTTGGGAGGACAAGGCGGGTGGACTGCTTGAGCTTCAGAGTTCAAGACCAGCCTGGGCAACATGGTGAAATTCTGTCTCTACCAAACAAACAAAACAAAAAATTAGCTGGGCATGATGGTGTGCACCTGTGGTTCCACCTACTTAGGAGGCTGAGGTGGAACGATCACTTGAACCCAGGTGGAGTTTATGAGGCAGGAGAATCAGGTCTGGAAGCAGGGAACCTAAGGCTGATTCACTCTGACTTCCTAGAACTAAATTGAAATTTTTAAAAACACAACTTTCCACGCCTATCCAACAAAAGGACCAGAGACTACCTACTGCCTTTGCAAAGGCAGTAAGTTCTGAGGCACAGTTGGGAAATTGAAAGTACTTCAGATTGATTGCTGTGCACAACCAATCAGACTGACTTCGGGCCACTACTTCATTTACATAGGGTGTACACCAAGTAACCAAAGGGAAACTTCTAGAGAGTATTTACCCCAAAATTCTGTAAAGGGGCTTTTGAGCCCCTGTGCTCAGCCAGCTGCTACATTGGAATGTACTTTCATTTTTTCTTTCTTTCTTTTTTTGGATTGAGATGGAGTTTCACACATTGCCCAGGTTGGAGCACAGTGGCACGATCTCGGCTCACTACAACCTCCATGTACCGGGTTCAAGCGATTCTCCTGCCTCAGCCTCCTGAGTAGCTGGGACTACAGGCGCATGCCACCATGCCTGACTAATTTTTGTATTTTTAGTAGAGATGGGGTTTCACCATGTTAGCCAGGATGATCTGGATCTCTTTACCTTGTAATCCACCGAAGCTTGGCCTCCCAAAGTGCTGGGATTATAGACATGAGCCACCATCCCTAGCATGTACTTTCATTTTCAATAAATCTCTGCTTTTGTTGCTTCATTCTTTTCTTGCTTTGTGTGTTTTGTCCAATTCCTTGTTCAAAACGCCAAGAACCTGGACACCCTCCACGGGCAAAGTCACAGTGAACCAACATGGCACAACTGCACTCCAGCCTGGGTGACAGAGACCCCATCTCAAAAAAAAAAAATAATAATAATAATAATAAAGTTCTGCTGTCACAGTCTTGGAATTTTTTTCATTTAAAAAAGGAAAAAAATATTTTTTAAAATGGGTGGGCACAGTGGCTCACACTTGTAATCCCAACACTTTGGGAGGCCAAAGTGGGAGGATCACTTGAGCTTAGGAGTTTGAGACTAGTCTGGGTAACATAGGAATCTGCGTCTCTACAGTTATTATTATTATTATTATTTTTTTTTTTTTTTGAGACGGAGTTTCGCTCTTGTTACCCAGGCTAGAGTGCAATGGCGCCATCTCGGCTCACCGCAACCTCCGCCTCCAGGGTTCAGGCAATTCTCCTGCCTCAGCCTCCTGAGTAGCCGGGACTACAGGCACGCGCCACCATGGCCAGCTAATTTTTTGTATTTTTAGTGGAGACGGGGTTTCACCATGTTGACCAGGATGGTCTCGATCTCTTGACCTCGTGATCCACCCGCCTCGGCCTCCCAAAGTGCTGGGATTACAGGCGTGAGCCACTGCGCCCGGCTTCTACAATTATTATTATTATTATTTTTTTTTTTTTTTTGGAACGGGGTTTCGCTCTTGTTACCCAGGCTGGAGTGCAATGGCGCCATCTCGGCTCACCGCAACCTCCACCTCCTGGGTTCAGGCAATTCTCCTGCCTCAACCTCCTGAGTAGCTGGGATTACAGGCACACGCCACCATGCCCAGCTAATTTTTTGTAGTTTTAGTAGAGACGGGGTTTCACCGTGTTGACCAAGATGGTCTCAATTTCTTGACCTCGTGATCCACCCGCCTCGGCCTCCCAAAGTGCTGGGATCACAGGCATGAGCCACCGCGCCCGGCTTACAATTATTTTTTAAAAATTAGCTAGCCATGGTAGCTGGTGCCTGTGGTCCTGGCTACACAGGAGGCTAATGTGGAAGAAGCATTGGAGCTCAGGAGTTCAAGACTAGCCTAGGCAACAGGACAAGACCCCATCTCTACAAAACATAAAAAATTAGCCAGACATGGTGGTACACACCTGCAGTACCAGCAATCTGGGAGGCTGAGTTGGGAGGATTGTTTCAACTTGAGAGGTAGATGCTGCCCTGAGCTGTGATCAGGCCACTGCACTCCAGCCTGGGCAACAGCTAGACCCTGTCTAAAAAAATAAAAGAAAAGAAAATTAACAGCTCAGAAGGGCAAGCAAATGAAAAATAATGATTTCTCTCCTCTCCCAGAGGGAACCCTCACCCACACCTTCTGTTTTTTGTTCTCCTGTGGTCATCATTATACCCTTATGTAATATCTTTGTGAATTTGTCAATTAGACAGTATCTCTTATCTCCTCAATGTGGTGAGAATTTAACTCACACTAACTTATGCCCCGTACTTTCCATGTTCCAATGTTTTTTATATATTTCTTTTTAGGTCTTGTAGTAGTTGCCTTTATGATAAGTTTCTCTTTCCATTATTTTGACTTCAACCATAATACATTGACTCCTAAAAGAAAGCTTTAGAAAAAGCCCAATGGGCTGTGTGTGGTGGCTCATACCTGTAATTCCAGTGCTTTGGGACGCCCAGGCAAGAAGACTGCTTGAGGCCAGTAGTTCAAGACCAGCCTGGGCAACATAGCGAGATCTTATCTCCATTAAAAAATGTAAAAAATGAAGACAAGGCACAGTGACTCACACCTGTAATCCCAGCGCTTTGGGAGGCCGAGGAAGGTGGATCGCCTTAGGTCAGGAGTTTGAGACCAGCCTGTCCAACATGGTGAAACCCCATTTCTACTAAAAATACAAAAAATTAGCTGGGCGTTGTGGTGGGTGCCTGTAATCCCAGCTACTTGAGAGGCTGAGGCAAGAGAATATCTTGAATGTGGAAGGTGAAGGTTGCAGTGAGCCAGGAGCATGCCATTGCACTCCAGCCTAGGTGACAATAATGAAACCGCATCTCAAAACAAACAAACGAGACATGGAATTTATAATCTAGTGGGAAAATAAACAAACATTAATCAACTAATCAAATCAATATAAAATTGCAATCTCATTTAGTTATTTGAAGACAAGTAGAAGGTGCTATTTGAATGTCTAATGAAGGTGTAACCTGGAGAGTGATAACATCTGTACTGAGCTCTGACAAATGAGTAGGAGTTAACCTGGCCTAGGAGCCAGCAGGACGGGCCTGGCAGAATGCAGATCACATGCAAAGGCCCTGTGATAGAAGGGAGATGGAACGAGGGACTAAGAGGGTCAATGGGGCTGGAACAGAGGGAGGAGAGAGGGAAAAGTGAGGCAGGAGAAAGGGTTGAGGTATCCATGCAGGGCCCTGTAAGCCACATTGAGGAATTTTGTCTCCCTCTTAAGGGCATTGGGCAGTCACTGCAGAGTCTTCAGCAATGGTGCTTAGGCAAGTTGACATGTTCAGATTTAAATTTCCAAACAAACACTGTGGCTGTTGCACAGAAAGACAATCTGAGAGCACAGAAGAGCTGGTGGAGACCAGTTAGAAGGCCATTGTGGTAGGGCTTTAGGGGAGGTGGTGCTGTCAATGGCAAGAAGCAGGCAGACTGGAGAATAATTTAGGAGGTAACAGTTAACAGATATTGACTAGTAATGGGCTGGGGACACACAACATGCAAACTTTATAAAAGCCTACACAGGGACAGACAGATTCATGCATGCAGCCTCCGTGAATGGGTTTCATGTGTAAACAGAGGGTTGGTAGGATTCTATATGAGCACACAGCGTGGATACCATGAAGCTTGATGGCACACTAATGAGTGATGTCCATTATTTATAGCAAGAGGCTCCTTACTGATATCCTTTCAACTTAGCACTGACCCACATCTCCTCCTCAGCCTGTTGGTGCCGCCATTCATCAGTAAGTTTGCCCAAAGTTAAGGGAGCTCAAGATCCAAGATGAGATGAGAGAGAAAAGCCACCAGAACCACACAGCCACCTCAGGGCAGAAAAACAAAGAGGGCAGGGGCCTGAGCAGGGAGAAAGGTGTCTGCCTGCTCTCCTGGCCTGGGCCAGGTCTAGTGCTGAGATAAAATGAGCAGCAGACAGACCCCAGCAGAACCACGCTGCTCTTAAGTGCCTTTTCTTTTATTAAAAATTTTATTGTAGAAGAAAAGCTGTCAAAAAAAGAAAAAGAAAAACGTGTTTATTTTAGAAACTTTTCTACATTTTCTAAAACATGGTTGGGCACAGTAGCTCATGCTTATAATCCCAGCATGTTGGGAGGCTGAGGTGGGTGGATCATCTGAGGTCAGGAGCTCGAGACCAGCCTAGGAAACATGGTGAAACCCCATTTCTACCAAAAATACAAAAAAATTAGCTGGATGTGGTGGCGCATACCTGTAATCCCAGCTGCTCCAGAGGGTGAGGCTGAGACAGAAGAATCTCTTGAGCCCGGGAGGCAGAGGCTGCAGTGAACCGAGATTGCGCCACTGCACTCCAGCCTGGGTGACAGCAAGACTCCATATAAAAAAAAATTTGTTTTTAAACATTCAAAATTTCCCATAATCACACCAGAGAAAAACCACCACCTCTAACGTTCTGACAAGTTTCTTTCTTGTCTATTTTTTTCTAGTCTTTTTTCCTATGT